CGTGATTCCAGCCCAGATGCCCCGTCTGGAGTACTGTGTCCAGGTCACAAGCCCCCAGCACAAGAAAGATGTAGAGAGACCTCTTGGATCAGGTCCAGGAGGAGAGCCATGAAGATGATCAGAGTGCTAGAGCACCTCTCTTATGAAGAAAGGTTGAGGAAGCTGAGCTTGTTTAGCTTGGAGAAGAGAAGGCTCCAGGGAGACCTCATTGCAGCCTCCCAGTATTGAAGGGAGCTTCTAAACAGGAGGGAGAGCAACTTTTTACATGGGCAGATAGTGATAGGACAAGGGGAAATGGTTTAAAACCAAGAGAGGGGAGATTTAGGTGAGATATTAGGAGGGAATTTTTCACCCAGAGGGTGGTGAGGCACTGACCCAGGTTGCCCAGAGGAGTTGTGGATGCCCCCTCCCTGGAGGCATTCAAGGCCAGGTTGGATGGGGCCCTGGGCATCCTGATCTAGTGGTTGGCAACCCTGTCCAGAGCAGTGGGGTTGGAACTGGATGATCTTTAAGGCCCCTTCCAACCCAACCCATTCTATGATTTCCATCCTGTTTTCTGATAACACTAAAAGAAATTGGTCAGTCTACCAGGGGACATGGTTTCTCCAGAGCTGCTGGGGCTTTGGCTCAACTGAGACAAACCAATGTGCTTGCCCAGGTTGTATCAGGTCTGTCTCCATTGTTGCTTCTGTCCTGTATGTTTGGGAGACTCAGAGCATCCCCAGCTCTGACACTGACTCCTGCAGTGACCATGGGTAAGTCCTGGGATGCTACTGTGGGATGCTGCCCTGCTGCACAGAGACGCCTTGGCATGAGCAGTCAGTTATGGAGGGTAACTGCTGGAGGCACATTCTCACCTTTGGTTACGTGTCCATGTCCTAGGCAGGCTGCCGAGCTGCAGACTTGCTGCAGATTCCAAGTTTCCAGTCCTACCCACCCCTCTTCCTCTCCTCCCTGCCTTCCAGCGCAGGTGACACAATAAATATTGAGCAAAGGAAGTTAATCTTTGACCAGAGTGTTTTAATCAGGAAAAAAGAAAAGGTATTAGTGCAGGCCTGCTGGCTCCTGCCAAACTGCAGTTTTACTGTCCCTCCTGGTACTGGGTTTATGGCTGTCATTTCATTCCAGTTTTACTGTTGGTTTTGCCCTTATCGTTGTGTTTCTCCTTGCCTGCTGCTGCCTGACTGAATGGGGCTTTTAGGAACATAATAAGGAAGAAATCAGTAAATTTTTAGGGAGGAAGAAGGGAAGGAAGCAAGGAAGAGAAGCAGGAAGAGAGGAAGGAAGGAAGAAATGGAGGGAGGAAGGGAGGGAGGAAGGAAGGAGGGGAGGGAAGGAAACAGGGAGGGAGAGAAAGCTAAATGCTTCCTGTTTCTATCTAAAAGACACCATCAGTGCTTAACATGAAAACAATTTAAAATTTTAAGCAGATGCTGAACATCCTGGTGCCCTGCAGCAGGCAGCTCCCTGCTGTGGGGAGATCTGCTATGCCAGGAGAATTAAAAAACCCAAACGTTTTTTAGGTCTATGGCTTACAGGAACACACAGGAGCATAGGAGCAACCTCTGGGGCAGCAAACAGCCCCCAGCTTGTCCTGGGCCGCCTGCAGCATCTCCCCTGGGCTCAGCAGCTGCTTTAGCAGGGACTTTCCAAAGGGTTGAGACCAGCAGGAAACAATTTTGGAGGTGACTTACCCATGCCTCAGCCAGCTGGTGTTTTTTCCTCTGCTGATGGTCGCTGAGACCTCCCTGCAAGACGT